AAGAGCCACAATTGAATTGTTGGTGGTGGCTAGAATATGCTTTCATTGACAATTGAGTTCGATGATTTGGTTCCCCTTCGGTGTAATATAAGTGCAACTCTGCTTTCCGGACAGCATTGAAATATATCTGGGTTTTGATGTGATTTGCAATCTGGAAATCTGCCAGTTCGCTGTTGCTCATTTTCCTTGCGTAAGGAAAGATAATTATTAAAAGACGACAAGCTTATGAGCAGTAGTAGGGGCAGAAAGAACCAGGGAAGCTTCTTCATGTTATGTTTCAAAATTAGCAGCATTAAATTCAAAGAGAAAAAGGAAAACAAAAAGCAATATTGCCGCAGTGCAACTGTGCTTTCGCAAAGACAAGGAAAACATCATCCACTATTCGGTGCAAGAAGAGAACAGTAAATTGAGGAATCGTCTTTCTAAGCGTTGCACGGTTTGCACCTCATGCTTAGGATGTGGTCAAGACCAACAATTCGCCACTTGGCAAGTTCTTCGTTTTTCTTTTTGTCTTTTTTCTTTTCTTCTTTTTTCTTTTTTTCTTTTTTTCTTTTTTTCTTTTTTTCTTTTTTTCTTTTTTTCCCTCCCCCTCAGATGGCAGGTTCTACAGAGTCAGAAATGAACAAAAAGCTTGTGGGATGGCAAACAAACCACTGGGAAAAAGAAGTGCCCTCTGAAGACACCACCTGGACCGATCACTGAGTGACAGTGAAGTCTGCCCACCCTATCCACTTAGAAATATTGTACTGGATAAGGGCATATAGTACTATATACTCACACCAGGACCTGTTCAACAAGACTCTGGACGGGATTGCAGTCACATTCATCCAGTTCTAGCTGCGATGCAGTCAGAATCCGTCAGATGCATCCAGGAAAATCGTAGTGGGTGAGTAGATAGTATATACACTAACCGGGCCTAACGTTAAAAGACTAAAAAAAAGAAAAAGAGAGAGATAAAGTTATAAGCTATGACACGGTCAATGTCAGACCTTCCAAGCCACTTTCTTGGCAATGTAGTGGGAAAAAAAAATAGTTATAAAAAATATATATAAAATGAAAAAAAAAAAAAGACAAGGCTCCTCCTCAGGAGGATGTTGAAAGGATCAGATGTCAGACAAGTTGGGACAACTATTTCATTGTCCAGCAGCATTTTCCAGATAATTTTAAGAGAAAGGATATAATAATATTATAATAATGATTTGTTCATCCTTCGTCCCATATCTCTTATAATAATGATTTGTTCATCCTTCGTCCCATATCTCCTTTTCTCTTTCGATTTCCTGGGAATTTTTTTTTTCCCACAACTAACTCGCTGACACCTGATCCTCTCAGCCTCCTTTTTTTTTTTTTTTTTTTTAGCTGACCCACAGCAGAGAACTCATGTCAGTTCGGATTTTATTTTCTTCTTCCTGTTTTTTTTCATTTAATTATATGTTCCTTCTGCGTTACCACAGTGGTGTGGGAACATAGTGTAGATAACTAGGCTACCAGAGTGGCTCGGGACCACATGCCCGGCCAGGCCAAAAAAAAAAAAAAAAAAAAAAAACTTTAAAAAAGACAGAATTTTGAGGTGACCCCGAGGCAAGAGTTGTTCAGTTTATTTTTCTGCATAACATGGTTTTTTTTTTCCGGATTTTTTTTTTGCACGGCCGGGCCGCCCGGGAAAAAAGGGTGACCCGGGCAGGCCGGCTGGTAGCCTAGGTAGATAAAAAAAAAAAAAAAAAAAAGAGGGAGAGAGAGTGGTGTGGGACCACATGGCCTACAAGGCAAAAAAATAATTAAAAAAAAATAAAAGCATGCTTTTCTTATTCAGTCATTTTATTTTTTCATTTTAAAATTTAAATTTGGAAAGGAATTTCAATGTGGTCCAGAGGCAAAAACTGTGCAGTTCATTTTTCTGCACAACATACAGTCTTTTTCGGCTTTTCTTTTTCTTTACAGGGACCTTCCGTGGCCCTTGCCTCGCCGGGCTGCCCGGCAACCAAGGTGACCGAGGCCACCCGGTTGGTAATGCAGATGCCCTTCTTTTTTTTTCTTTTTTTTTTTTACTTTCCCCTCCTTCCCCCTCTCCTACTCCTGCAGATGCCCTTCTATTCCTAGGGACATCCAATTTCCTGAAAGACGCAGCCCTCTAATGGGCACTGGGGCCAAGGTCCTACATGCGCCTACTCTTCATTCTGGACCATTGATCTTTACGGTCTGTAATCCACGATGGATAACCCATATAGGGCCACAAATCCGAGATTTGTCAAACACCCAACAAAGATACATTTCAGAAAATGTAGGCTTGGGCTCCACTAACTTGCAGCATTCTCACAATAAGACTTTCTCTACTGCACTCGGGATGAGATTGGGACATGATTGCAGTCAGATTCATCCAGCTCTGGTCATAATTACAGTCAGATACATTTAAGGAAGTGCTGGTGTGAGAATGCCCTTCAACCACAAGTACTTTACGCAGCTATCTTTTAAGAGTAGTGGCTTTGCATGTGCCACAGCTTTCGGGGCTCGGCCTCCAGAGCAAAATGGCTGATGGCACCAGCCAAAAGGAGGCCCGCGCATGTTTGTTTGCTTTTTTTGGCGCCCAAAAAAAAAAAAAAAAAAGTGTGGCTCCACTGCAAGCAATGAGCGTGGCTGTTATGAAAATGGTGCCCCGGGACAACTGAAAAATTATTGCACTGGCTTTTTCCAACTGGACCAGAATAGCAGTCCGACGCATTGCGCTGTCTTTGAGAACACTTGGGGAAAAGATACAAGGTACCCCATTTTTACTTCAGGGAAGTGGCTATTCGGGCCGGGACACCCTCTGCGACAGAGCCGCAAAGGTCCCTTGTTTGGCGGCAGTGGCAGTGCTCATGTGAAAACAATTTCCTCTAAGAAGTAAGTCTGCAGAGAACAAGCCATAAGCACGGAGATATTCATCCTGCAGGCACTCTCCTCCCCCCCCCTTCCCCCCTTCTGGCCCCAGCCATTGGATTTGCAAAACCTACACGAACGAAATAGACGCACAGGCGGCACAGCGATATTCCGCCCCGGCTGCAACAGAAGTTCTCGGCCCGCATAAAACCCGCACACACAGAGAGAGAGAGAGAGAGAGAGAGAGAGAGAGAGAGAGAGAGAGAGAGAGAGAGAGA